GTGGTAGTAGTAGTAGTAGTAGTAGTAGTAGTAGTAGTAGTAGTAGTAGTAGTAGTAGTAGTAGTAGTAGTAGTAGTAGTAGTAGTAGTAGTAGTAGTAGTAGTAGTAGTAGTAGTAGTAGTAGTAGTAGTAGTAGTAGTAGTAGTAGTAGTAGTAGTAGTAGTCGTAGTAGTGGTAGTGTAGCGTAGTCGTAGTCGTTGTCGTAGTAGTAGCAGTAGTAGTAGTAGTAGTAGTAGTAGTAGTAGTAGTAGCAGTAGTAGCAGTAACAGTATTAGTAGTAGCAGTCGTCGTAGTAGTAGTGGTAGTAGTAGTAGTCGTAGTAGTAGTAGTAGTAGTAGTAGTAGTAGTAGTAGTAGTAGTAGTGGTGGTAGTAGTAGCAGTAGTAGTAGTAGTAGTAGTTGTAGTCGTAGTCGTAGTCGTAGTCGTAGTAGTAGTACTAGTAGTGGTAGTAGTAGTAGTAGTAGTAGTAGTAGTAGTAGTAGCAGTAGTCGCATTCTTATTATTATTAGTAGTAGTAGTAGCATTATGATTATTATTATGATTATTATCATGATTATTAGTATGATTATTATTATTAGTACTAGTATTCTTATTCTTATTATTATTATTTTTACTATCATTATTTTTATTATTATTATTATTATTAGTAGTAGTAGTAGTAGTAGTAGTAGTAGTAGTAGTAGTAGTGGTGGTGGTGGTGGTGGTGGTGGTGGTGGTGGTGGTGGTGGTGGTGGTGGTGGTGGTAGTAGTAGTAGTAATAATAGCGTGTCGAATTTCACGCAGACGACGAGCGAGACTACGAGGAGCGCGCGCCGGGCCAGCTCTTTCGCCCCCGCTACCTACCGCGGGGAATCTGGATGCAGGTCCACGGCTTCAAGGAGCCCCCGATCTACAAGGAGGTCGCCGAGGTGCTGCTGCAGAGCGCCGAGGGCGCTGACGACGACGGTGCGGCCGAGGCGCGGGCGAGGAGCTTGCTCATGTTCAGGCCCAGCAAGCAGGAGCTCACGTGGCAGAGCTCGGGGCCGCACGTTGTGCGCCGCTCGGGGTTCACCCTGACGCGCGCGTCCTACCTGACCTCCACGCTGTCGCAGGGTCAGACGCTGCGCAAGGGCGTCGCCATCGAGTGCGCCAGGGATGAGGACGCTGGTCGCACGGGCATGTCGGACGAGCACTGGTGGCTGCACCTCTACGTCATGTTCTCCTGCGCCACGTGCGCGCGGAACATGCTGATCCTGCGGCCGCCCGCGCGAGACTTCCTGGAACGCGGGCCGCCGGCGCCCCTGCGGAAGGCGCTCGAGGAATTCGACGAGAGCAGTGGGCTCCAGGGCTGAGGCGGAGCAGCTCGCGGCGGAGCTGGGCTTCGTGCTGCCGCCCGCCTGAGCGCGGCCGCGATTAGCTCGGTGCCTGCAGGGTTGTCCCAGCGGCTTGCTCTCGCGCCCCAGCGGCTCGCGGGGTTGCCCCGACGGCCTGGCCCGAAGGGTTGCCCCGACGGCTTCGCGATCTAGCCGTCGGCAAACGCGCGCGCGATTGCCCGGGCGGCGAGGGCGCCGAGGAAGATCGATTTGCTTGCGCCGACCAGAGGGGGCGGGGAGGCGCGCGTTGGGAAGATGCAGGCGGAGGGTGAGGAGGAGGGAGGGAGTAGGGGGGGGGCGATGATGAGGAGATGAGGAGGTGGAGGAGGAGGAGGAGGAGGAGGAGGAGGAGGAGGAGGAGGAGGAGGAGGATAAATAGAGGGAGGAGGAGAGGGCAGAGCAGAAGGCGACAGGAGAGTGCCCGCCAGGGAGAGGAGGAAAGGGCTAATGGGGAAACTAACATATTCTCATGCGGGGTCCTACCGTCGGAGTAATTTTACCAGGAAATCTCGAGGCTCGAACTGGGCCCCTGGCCCCCGGGTTACAACATCAACGTATCCCGCCTGGAGCTTCCTCACAATTTAGCCAGGGCCCCCGCTCCCGCCCGAGATTTCCTCGCATTTTATTGAGGAATCGCGCTCTCGCTTGGGATTTCCTTACAATTTATTCAAGAATCGTTCCCCCGGCGCTCTGGAGTCGCGCTCTCGCTGGAGACTTGCTTGACATCTATTGAAGAATAGCGCCCTTGCGTTGGAATTTCCTGAAGCGCCGCGCTCCCGACACCCAGGCACCCAGGAGTCGCGCTCACGCTTAGGACTCCCTCGCAGATTACCTAGGAATCAGGATCTCGCTGCCCTTCGTGGACCCGTTGCAGCCCTTCGTGGCCCCCTCGCTTTGTTTCGTGGCCCCGTTGCAACGCTTCGTGGCTCTCTCGCTGCCCTTCGTGGCCCCGTTGCAACCCCTCGTGGCCTCCTCGCTGCCCTTCGTGGCCCCGCTGTCGCCCTTCGTGGCCCCCTCGCTTTGTTTCGCGGCCACGTTGCAGCCCTTCGTGGCCCCCTCGCTGCCCTTCTTTGCCCCGTCGCAGCCCTTTGTGGCCCCGTTGCAGCCCTTCGTGGCCTCTTCGCTGCTCTTCGTGGCCCCGTTGCATCCTTTCGTGGCCCCCTCGCTGCCCTTCGTGGCCCCATATCTGTATGCCTTTCGTGGCCCCCGCCCGTTCGCGCCAGTTGTGGCCCCATACGTATTCCCTTCGTGGCCCCGCTGTCGCCTTTCGTGGCCCCCTCGCTGCCCTTCGTGGCCCCGTTGCTGCCCTCAGTGGCCCCGTCTTTGCCCTCCGCGGCCCAGTATACGTATGCCCTTCGTGGCCCCCGCTCGTCGCCGTTTGTGGCCCCTTTACTGTCCTACGTGGCCCAGTTGCTACCCTCAGTGGCCCCATCGTTGCCTTTTGTGGCCCCGCATTATCTGCCCTTCGTGGCCCCCGTTCGTTCGCGCTCTTCGTGGCCCCATACGCGTTCCCTTCGTGTCCCCGCTGTCGCCCTTCGTGGCCTACTTCGTGTCCTTGTGGCCCTGCTGTCGTTCTCTCTCGTTCTCGCCTTCGCTCGTCGTCGCCGTCGTCGTCGTTGTCGCCGTCGTCGTCGACGTCGTCGTCGTCGTCGTCGTCGCCGTGGTCGGTCCCGTGTCCGTCCCTCTTGGGGTCGGGTCGACGGTCCGCGGCCGCCCCGCCGATCAGCGCTGCCGCTGGCCAGGCCGACGGTCCGCGGCCGCCCCGCCGCTTGCCGGGGCCCGGCCTGCAGGGAAGAAAAGTATACCCCCCAAAAGGGGTTCGATCGAAGACGAAGAGGGCGGGTATCGAGGGTTTGGGAAATACGCGCTATTGGACACTCGAGCAGATAAGGGCGATCAGTCTTAAAATGATGTGTGTTGCTATTGTTGTTGTTGCTGCTGCTGCTGTGGTTGTTGTTGTTGTTGTTGCTGCTGCTGTTGTTGCTGCTGTTGATGTTGTTGTTGTTATTGTTGTTGTTGTTGTTGTTGTTGTTGTTGTTGTTGTTGTTGTTGTTGTTGTTGTTGTTGTTGTTGTTGTTGTTGTTGTTGTTGTTGTTCGGTAAGGCGTTGCCACCAGCCTCGGCTTGTTGTTGAGATTTTCTCTTCGCTCAAAACTCAAGCGCTTATCTTAAAGGGTAAGCAGAACTCCAGCAACCGAGGGCTTGCCCCACGGGGCCGGAGAAGGGGTTGGCACTGGGGCGGCAGCGCAAGGTGCCCCACGGGGCCGGAGAAAGGGTCGGCATTCTTGGCGCGCTTCCAGAGGTTTCCCCGGATTTCCGCGAATCCTTCAGGATTCGTCTGGATTTCTGGGAACCCCTCCGGATCCCGTAGGATCTCCAAGGCTTCTTTGGGACCCCCAAAGGGATTCCTCAGGAGCCATTCCGCGGGACCCCCGAGGATTCCTCAGGATCGTCCAGGTCCCCCGGGCTCCTTCCGGAGTCCCCCGGATTCCTCAGGATCCCCCGGGAAGCCGTGGGATCCCAAGTGATTCTTCAGGATCTTCCCGAGGGGTTCTCAGGATTCGTTGGGCTCCTCAGGATTCTTCAGGATATCTTCGAATTCTTCAGGATCCCCATGGATTCCTCAGGACACTTCAGGGTTCCTCAGGATTCACCATGTGTCATCAAGACGCCTACGGATTCCTTAGGATCCCCCATGGTTCCTCAGGATCCCCTCTGGGTGCCCTTCAGGATTCCTCAGGATTCCTTAGCATTCTTCAGGATTCCCAAGGATTCTTCAGGACCCACAAGGATTCCTCAAGATCCCCCGGGCTTCTTTCGGACTCGTCAGGATTCCTGAGGATTCGTCAGGATTCCTCAGGACCCTTCAGGATTCCTCAGGACTCTTCCCGAGCCCCAACGATTCCTCAGGATCCCGCAGGAATCCTGGGGATCCCCAGGGATTCTTCTGGTTCCCCCTGGGGTTATCAGGATTCCGTTGGGCCCTTCAGGGTTCTCCAGGATATCTTCGAATCATTCAGGATCCCCAAAGATTCCTCAGGACACCTCAGGACTCTTCAGGACCCCCCAGGATTCCTCAGGGCCTCCCCCTCCAAATGGTCCGATGACTTCTTCCTCAGGATCCACAGCGATTTTTCACGATCCTTCAAGATTCCTCAGGATGCCGAAGGCCTCCGTGGGTTTCCAAAGGATTCCTCTGGATCCCCTCTGGGTACCCCTCAGGATTCCTCCGGACTCCTTAGAATTCGTCAGGATTCCACTCCACAGGATTCATCAGGATCCCCAAGGTTTCTTCTGGATTCATCAGGACCTCCTCAGGATTCGTCTGGATTCTTCAGGATCCCTCAGGATGCCTCAGGATTCCTCCCGAGGCCCCAGGGTTCCTCAGGATCCCACGAGAACCTTTGGGACCCCAAAGGATTCTTCAGGATCTCCCTCGGGTTTCTCAGGATTCCGCTGGGCTCTTCAGGAATCCTCAGGACATACTAGGATCCCTCCGGATCCCCTGGGTTTCTTCTGGGCTCACCAGGATCCCTTTGGACTCGTCAGGATTCCTCAGGACACCTCAGGACTCCTCAGGAATCCCGAGGACTCCTCAGGATTCCCCAGGACACCCCCTCCAAATGAGTCCTATGGATTCTTCTTCAGGATCCACGATGATTCCTTAGGATCCCCCAGGATTCCTTAGGATGCCGAAGGCCTCCTTAGGTTTCCAAAGGATTCCTCTGGATCCCCTCTGGGTACCCGTCAGGATTCCTCCGGACTCCTTAGAATTCGTCAGGATTCCACAAGATTCATCAGGATCCCCAAGGCTTCTTCTGGACTCATCACGACTCCTCAGGATTCGTCAGGATTCTTCAGGATCCCTCAGGATTCTTCAGGATTCCTCCCGAAGCCCCAGGGTTCCTCAGGATCCCACAGGAACCCTTGGGACCCCAAAGGATTCTTCAGGATCTCCCTTGAGTTTCTCAGGATTCCGCTGGGCTCTTCAGGAATCCTCAGGACATACTAGGATCCCTCTGGACCCTCTAGGCTTCTTCTGGGCTCTCCCCGTTTTCCGGCAGGGGGGGGGGGTCGAACCGGAAGTGACCCCCCCGGTTTTCCGGATGGGGGGGGAAGGGGGTGTTGCCGGGAGGAAGGGTGGGGGGGAGGGGCAATTTTCGCAGGGGGGGGGACCCCCGGGTTCTGGAGGAAGAGGGGTGGGAATTTTCCACAGTAAAGCGGCGGTGGATCACGCTCTCTTATAAGGAGAAGAAGGAAATAAGACTAATTGCAATACTAGTAGTAAGAAGAATAAGAAGTTAAATGAGAAGCATGCGAATGAGAAAATTAGTGACAATAGCCATACTAATGGGAATAGTACTACTAGTAATACGAATGATCATACTAATCATAATGATTATCCCAATCGTAATAAACATAAAACTGTTAATATTGTTGATCGGAAGCTTGTTCATGCGAATAGCACTATTAATATTAATAATCGTAATAGTCTTACTACTCATAATACTCATAATAATCAGCATAATAATAATCATACTACTAATCATAATAATAATAAGAGAAATACTAATGATATCCCTAATACTTCTACTACTACTACTACTACTACTACTACTACCACCACTACTACTACTACTACTAATAATACTAATAATAATAATAATAGAAATGATAATACTAATCATAATAATAATAGTAATAATAATACTAATAATAATAATACTACGAATACTACTACTATTTATTTTTACAACTACTAAGTATGACTACTACTACTACTACTAATACTAATATTAATAATCATATTATTAATAATATTGATAATCATACTAGTAAGACTAATAATATAATCATAATGATATTATTCATAAGCTTATAATAAGGACGAGGAGGAGAAGGAGGAGGAGGAGGAGGAAGGTGGGGAGGAGGAGGAGGAGGAAGAAGAGGAGGAAGCAGAGGAAAACGGGGCCGACCGCGGCGCGGGGTCCTGTGCTGGCCGCCTTCGCGGCTGGCGGGCCGCCCCTTGCGGGGCTGGCGCCGGCCTGCTGCGATGAAGGGGAGGGGTGGCAAGCTGCGCAGGGACGGCCCCGATGTGCTGCTCCCGTGCTCGGGTTGGACTCCGCGGCAGCGGCGGGGGGAAAGGCTCAGAGGGGGCTGCATCGACCCCCTACATCGCTCACTGTCTGCTGACAGGGGCCCGATGCGGAGCCCGCCCCGCGCCGGACCTTGCGGACTCGATGTCGGGGACACATCGCCGATCTATCGGCGATGTGTCGCTGTGTCGCCGATTCTATGCCGATGTTTCCCCCCTGAGCCGGGCTCGACCAGCGCGAGGTGGAAGGCGTTGAGCGCAGCGTCTGTGCGTGCAGACGTCGCGAGGCCCTGCGTTGGCGAGCGCCGCCCCGTGCCGACGGCAACCCCGAGCAGTGCCGCGTGCAGCTACTGCTACTTGCAACGAACGCTGCCCAAGGTGGAATACGGAACAGGAGAACGGGGCGAGCCCGAGGAGGGGGCAAACCCGAGGTCGAGGAGGAGAGGGGCGGGGAGACGGAGGAGATAGAGGAGCTGGTGGGCAGGCCCCCCCACGTGGCCTCTTCGAGGAGGTAGAGGAGGACAGGGTCGAGGGCGAGGGCGAGGATGCGGAGGACGAGGGGGCGAGGGGGCGGAGAGCGAGGGCGACGGCGAAGACGAGGCGCCGGAGCACGAGGCGGAGGACGAGGCGGAGGGACGGAGGGCGAGGACGAGGAGTGGGGGGCCGGGGCGGTGGGCGAGGACGAGGACCGAGGCGGGCAAGGGGCGAGGAGGAACGGCCGCCCCCACGCGCCCCCTGTGCGGCGGGGAGGCCCCTCCTCGAGCGGCACGGCCTGGCCCAGGCCTGGGTCTTCCGCAACGGGCGAGCGCCCCCCGCCATGCCGCCGCCGCCCGGGCCAGGGCCGGTTCCGCCGAGGGCTCGTCCGGCATCGTTGCCGCCGCCGCCCGTAGCCGACTCGTCGTCGTCGTCGTCGTCGTCGTTGTCGTCGTCGTCGTCATCGTCGTCGTCGTTGCCCTCCTTCTCTTTTCTATCCTGCCCTTTTCCCCTTCGTCGCCATCGCCCTCCTCCTCGCCCTCCTAATCGTCCTCCTCCTCCTCGTTTTCCTCCTCTGGAGGCGCAACGCTTGCCTGGCGATTCGCAGGCGCGACCGTTGAGGCCCGACCGAGTCGACTCTTCTTGCGCGGCCCACGAGAGATTACAAGTTGGAGGCAGAATATGTTCCACATCCCAACCACCGCGTTGTGTCCCAGGATTTTTTTTTATCTGCTGCTGTACCGGCTGCGGATATGTCTGTGCACGTGAGGGTGGAGCCCAGCGTAAGCTTGCCAAGGAGTGTCGCCCGCTTTGGAGAGCGGGCCAGAAGCAGCTCGACCATATATCACGTGGGGCTTAGGCATGCAGTTCGGCAGCATCAGTTGAATTCAACAATCGGGGAGGCCTCCTGCAGAACAGTAAACCAGAAACCGCAATCGGGCACTGCTCACTAGTGACGTCGCATCCCCTGCCTGGAGGTACGAGGTAAGACGCTTTGGACCTTCTTCAGGCTTGTAAAGGCCTTTGGGGAGGGGGAGGCTCTAGGATAGGGGTCTCAAGTTCATTTCCGTTTTTGATATTGCTTGGCCTTGGGAGGGTTCCCCCTTAATCCATATTGTACCTCCTCTTCCTCCTCCTCCGCCTCCTCCTCCTCCTCCATATACTCAAGAGGCTTGCGCCAGTCCGCCGACCTCCAGAAGAGAATATGCGCGGCGTTCGATGTCACATTTGTTATCTGCGATTCCCGTCGTGCTCCCTGTCTGCAATTGCTGCTGATTTGTCATCCTTTTCCCCCGCGTCTGTTGCTGGGTTTCTTGGAGGCCTCTTGGAGGCTTCCAGGGCGGCCTCGTGGAAGCCTGTTTGAGGCGCTGGGGGGGAGAGCCTCGGGGACTCGTTGGGGGTCCCTTGGGAGGCCTCAGGAGCCATCCTGTGAGTCCGGGAGGGCTCCCAGGGACCTTGCGAGTTCCTCCCCTTGGGCCTCTCCAGTGCCCCTTTTGGGCTGGCCCCTCTTGGAGCCCTCTGGACGGCCTCTTTTGGCCGTCTTGGAGGCCTCTTAGGCCGTTTTGGACCCTCTTGGGCCGTCCCCGTGTTCTCCTGGGGGGCTCCTGGGCCCATCCATCATCGGCCTGTCTCGTGGGCCTCGCGGGCCGCGTGTGGCTCGCAGAAACCCGAAGCCGCAAAGGCGAGAGCGTGAGAACCTGGAACACCTGTTTGGAGAATCACAGGTGTTTCTCTCTTGAGGTACTCTTGGGGGTTCTGTTTGGGGCCATTTGAGGCGTCTGGCCTCTTGGAGGCTTCTGGGGCCGTCGTGGGTCGGTGTGGGGGCCCTCGCGGGCCGCGCATGACCTGAAGAAGCCCGAACAGGCGAGAACGCGAAAGTGCATCATAACGCTTTTGCTAGGGAAATCACGGACTTCTGCCTGTTATGTCCCTCGTGCCGGTTCTCTTGGGTGGGGCGCTTTGGGGGCCCATTGGACCATCTTGAGCCCATCTTGGGTGTTCTTGAGGCCTCTAGCCCGAGGGAGGAGGAGGAGGAGGAGGAGGAGGAGGAGGAGGAGGAGGAGGAGGAGGAGGAGGAGATGGAGGAGGAGGAAGAGGAACATCACAGGTGTTTCCATTTTGCGGTACTCTTGTGGGTTCGTTTCGGGGCCCTTGGAGGCGTCCTGGGACTCTCGGTTGCTTCTGGGGCCCTCGCGGGTCGCTCTGGGGGCCCTCGCGGGCCGCGCATGGTTTGGAAAAGCCCGAACAGGCGAGAACGCGAACATGCAACATGTTGCTTCTGCTGGGGGAATCAAGGATTTCTGCCTATTCTGTCCCTCGTGCAGTTTCTCTTGGGTGGGGCGCCTTGGGAGGCCATCTTGGGTGTTCTTGAGGCCTCTAGCCTTTCTTGAGCCGTCTTAGAAGTACCTTGGGCAGCATGGAGGCCACGTGTGGTGGATTTGGAGGCTCCGAAGGTCCCGGAGGTGCGTTGGTGAGCTCATCTCCTGCCCCCCTCGCGCGGGGGCCTTGCATTGTAAGTTGGGCCGTGTTGGAAGGGGACGAGGGAAGGGACCCGCATTGTCACCCCCAGCAAGCGGGGGTCGGCGGATTCCTCCGTGACCTCTCCTCCCCCTTGCCCTCCTCATTTGTCTCCTCGTTTTCCTCCTTCTCCTTTCCGATTCCTGTTTGTATTTCCTTCGTCGTCCTGCTTCCTTCCCTTCTCATTCTTCCTGTCCTCTTCCTCCGCTTTCCCATCCCCCCTTGCATTATCTCTCATACTCCCCCATCCCCCCTCCCCCTTTCCCCCCTTTGCTCCCTTCCCCCCGGGGCGAGAGCCTCCAGCAAGACGGTGCGCAGTGTGCTGCAGTACTGAGTCTTTCCGCCGCCGCCGCCGCTGCCGCCACCGTCGTCGTCTTCGTCGTCGTCGTCGTCGCCGTCGCCGTCCACCAAGAAGGCTGCGGGCGCCGCCGCGCACACCCGTCCGAGGGCGCTCCGCGGAAGGCCCCGCCGCCGCCCGCGGCCCGCCCGCGCGCCGCCCGCAGGAAGGGCTGGGACGCCTCCCTGCGTGGAGAGGCCGCCCGGGCCGCCGCTGGCGCCGCCCGCCGCGGCACGCCGCCGCCGCTTGCGTCCTCCTCCCCCTCCTCCTCCTCCTCCTCCTCCTCCTCCTCCCCTCCTCCTCCTCCTGCACCTCCTCTCCTCCTCCTCCTCCTCCTCCTCCTCTCCTCCTCCTCCTCCTCCTCCTCCTCCTGCGACGCTGCGGGCAAGGCGGTTCTCATCCGCCGCAGCCCGCGCCGCGCGCGCGCGCCCGAGCGCGCGGCGCGACGCACGACCCCCTACCTCTGAGATCCTCTGGAGGGGCCTCTAGAAGACCTCCTTCCTCAGAGATCCTCTGGAGGGGCCTCAAAGAGCCTCAGGGTTCCTGGGCACCCCGCAGCCAGGAGAGAGAGACGCCTCGAGGGCCTCGGAGGAAGGAACGCGGGAGCCCCGAAAACCCAAGTAAGACAGGGCGACAGGACCGCACGAGAACAGGGACGGCGGGAGGACAAAGCGGGGGAGGGGCCTCTAGAAGACCTCCTTCCTCAGAGATCCTCTGGAGGGGCCTCAAAGAGCCTCAGGGTTCCTGGGCACCCCGCAGCCAGGAGAGAGAGACGCCTCGAGGGCCTCGGAGGAAGGAACGCGGGAGCCCCGAAAACCCAAGTAAGACAGGGCGACAGGACCGCACGAGAACAGGGACGGCGGGAGGACAAAGCGGGGGGGAGGGGCCTCCTGGACCAGGGGAGGGAGGCGGGACCAGGAACCAGGCTAGTAAGCGGGCCTAGATTTGTACCAAGCCAGCCTCCCCCCAACCACCACCTCCATATTGGAGGGCGTACTCCTTCTCGCGCGAAAGACGCGGAGGTGGTGGTGGGGGGGACAAATTATTGGGGGGGGGGTGAGGGCGCCCACGGGCCCAGGTGTCAGAAGTAGATGGGGACCTCTTCCCCCTCGCGGCCGCCAGCACCCCCAAGTCTGTACCTGGGGGCCGGCACGCTCACCGCGAGGGGGCGATCACCAACCCGTACTCCGTGGGGCGGTGCTCGCCGTTGTTGTTGCCCAGGAGGCCGCCGTAGTTGTCGTGGAAGCCCCCGTTGTTGTCGCCCAGGAGGCCGCCGTAGTTGTCCGTCTCGACGATGCCCTGGGCGTTCGTCGCGGCGTTGCTTATGTCCACGATGGCCTTTCCTAGGATGTCCTCGACGTCGCTTCCGTCGTTGAGGTAGGCCTCGCACATGATGGCCGTGTATCTTTCCGTTGTTGTAGTCCGCTGGTGCTGTCTTAGCAAGAGGTGTTCTTGAATGCTGAGGTGGCGGATGTCTCGGTCCAGCACGATAGTAGGGGTGGTTGTGGCTAGCGTGTCGTATGCTGCGGTGAGCGTTCTAAACATCGTGTGGTTGTCTTTGGTGGCTTCTCGTTGCTGTCGTGTGCTTAGCTGTGGTCGTCCCCATGGGTGTTGCTGGTTTCTTGTTTGCCTTTCGGCTTTGAAGGAGTCGATATTGGCGTCGACGACGTGCAGGGCCACTCTCCCTTCCGAGGTGCATGCTCGCACACAGTGGCTCGTATCGTCTCCTTCGGCGATGTCGGTGCGTATAATACGTATCTGTATTGCCGTGCTGTGTCGGTTGACGTGCCGCTGTATGGCGTTAGCTTGCTGGTGGCAGTGCCGCTGGCAGTGGTGATTAGTATCGTATTCGGTGGTTCTCTGTCTTGGTTGGTGGGTGGTTGCCTCGGCTCGTTGCTGTGTAGCTCGCTGAGTGAGCTTGTCCCTTCGGGAATGCTGGTTGAGACAGGTGCGCATGTGTCATTGTTAAGTATATTATGTCCTATCGGCGGTCCGTACGTCTGTAGTGGTGGTGCCTCGGCGTAGTCGTCTGGGAGCCCGTTGTGTCTGCTGTGTCGTCTCGCAAGTCGAACCTCCGTTGTGTTGGCGTCGACCTCTTCGGCCGTTGCTCTGTAGTTGCTAGCCATCCAAGAAGCGGCGCATGTAGTAGACGCCTTGACGTGCTTGATGAGCCTGTTCGCGGAGTGGAAGTTCTTCATGCAAATTTGGCAAATCTCTCCCACTACGATATTGCTTATGTCGTCTTCGCCGCTGTGGTAGGTGTAGACGTGCTTGTTGTGCGCCGCAGTGGTCTGGAAGGTTGCGCCGCAATAGTAGCACATGACAGGCGGAGTCCGATGGTTGCCGCGGTGTTGGATGTCGTGTTTTGCCATGTGGTTCGTTTCGTCGTCTCCGTGTGTTGGTCAATGGCCCTGCGGTACGCGTGGGAGAGGATGGCTTTGAGGTGGCTGGTGTCTTACCGCGTCATCGTGATGAGCTCGGTGATGTCTTTAGGGACTTGCTCGTATCGTGTGTGGTCGCAATGGCAACGGTAGTGTTGCAGGTCGTTAGTGATGGTCGTAGCCCATTCGCCACCCGCTGTATGTCGTAATCTACAAGTGCTTGTAGCTCTGGTGGGCTGTTGTGTGCAAGACGTAACACCTGTCGGACTCGAAACCGTCGCAGTCGCTCTTGCAGTGTTGGTAAGGCCGCTCGTTCGAGGATCTGGTCGTTGGTAATCCGTTGTGAGCGCATCTTGTCCTGAGTGATCCCGATGGCCTGTCGTGCCGCAGATACGTAGGCCGTCGTCAGTCTGTTCGTGTCGCGCTGCTTATTGATGATCCAAGTGCCTGCATTAAAACATAGCTTCGAATACCCAAACGCCTCCAGGTAGTGGATCTTGGCTTTGGTGGTGACTGCGCGCCTCTTGAATAGTGTCCTGCGGAGCGGTCCCGTCGTTTGTCGTAGTGCAATGGTTCGGGCTGCAAGTTCTTGTCCGAGGTCGTTCTTGTCATTGAACATTTCCCCCGAGTAACTCCGTGTTTCTTGTGATAGTGACCGTGAAGCCGATATCCGATACGTTGCGCTTCTCTTGAACAATGGTACGGGCTGTGCGCTTGCCGCTTTCAGTGTTGGGATAAACGATGTAGCTCGACTTGGCCGTGTTGATCGGTAGTCCCCTTCTAAGTGTCGAACGAATACGATGTTCCCACATCGTGCTCACCAGCTGGTGGATTTCGTTGCCGTTGTTGGTCATTGCAGCTGCCTTGACGTCATCAACAAATGATGTCGAAGATACTGTCTTGATACTGTCGCTCTGCTGGATGTGCTGTCGTGCTTCGGGAATCGCTACCACGACGCCGTCGGTAGTAGCTCGCTGGTGATAGTCTGCTGTGACATCTGCCACTAGCGCGTTGAATGTGAAGTCAGCTATTGGGACGCCAGGCCGAGTTCCCAGTCTTGGTGCAGCACAGCTTGCTTCTCGGTGAATTTAGAACCATGTTCCTTTGTGAGTCTCCGTGAGCATCTCGACAATGTGCTGGTCCGTGACGTGCTTGTTGACGATGCCGTCGTTGGCCATCAGATGGGTGATGGCTGGGATCATGGCGTCGGGGATGTCTATGTTATCTATGACATCGCTAATTTGATCTTCGTCGGGCTGCATGTTGTACACCAGCTGGTTGATGACCGTGTGGAATGCTGCCTTGAGGTCGATCGTGGTGCTCACAAGGTCGTTCTTTGTCGCTTTGGCGGTGTCCAAGAGCATCCTCATCATCATGTGATTGAAGTCCGTGCTGTAGTGGTGCCTGCCGCCCATTTGAGTAGAGAACAGCATGTCGGGGTGGAGGTCTTTAACACACTGCCTGATGCAGCGGTAGTGGTGCTTGATGACGGTGTTAGCGAGTGTGATGGATCGTTGATTCGAGAGTGCCTCTTCTCCGCCCTTGCTTTTCCAGAAGTAAGTCATTATTGATCCCTTATGCGCCAAGCTTTCCCTGCAATAGAGCGCGGCCTTGGTGATTACGGGGTGCATGCGTCGAGAAACTTCTCGTGGTGCAAGTTTGGCCAGGTCGTCAGTGATGCAATCTGGTCCAGACGCTCTGTAGGGCTTGGCCTTGGCGAGGATGCCTCCTCCTCCTCCTCCTCCTCCTCCTCCTCCTCCTGCTCCTTCCTCCTCCTCCTCCTCCTTCTCCTCCTCCTCCTCCTCCTCCCTCCTCCTCCTCCTCCTCCTCCAATTCCTCCACCACCCCACCACCATCACCACCACCACCTCCTTCTCCTCCTCTTCCTCGTTCTCTCCTCTCCTCCTCCGCCCCGCCTCGCCCTCCCTCCTCCTCCTCCTCCTCCTCCTCTTGCTCCTCCCCTCCTCCTCTTCCTCCCCTCCTCCTCCTCCTTCTCCGCCTCCCCCTCCTCCACCTCATCCCCCCTTCTTCTCCCCTCCTCCTCCTCCTCCTCCGCCTCCTCCTCCTGCTCCTCCTCCTCGTCCTCCTCCGCCTCCTCATCCTCCTCGTCCCCCTTCTCCTCTTCCTCCTGCTCCTCCTCCTCCTCCTCCTCCTTCTTCTCCGCGCTCGCGTCCTCCCAGGGAAAAGTCGCTGCTGATATATGGAAACTGTTCCAGGCTCTTGCCTCGACGAAGTCGTCGTCCAGGGCCTGCCCCAGGAGGAGGAGGAGGAGGAGGAGGAGGAGGAGGAGGAGGAGGAGGAGGTGGGAGGAGGCGGGAGGAGGTGGGAGGTGGGAGGGGGAGGGGGTGGAGGAGGTGGGTTCCTCAGGACCCCATCCTTTGACCCACCGAGGGGCGGGGGTGGACGGGCGAAAAGGGTTCCGCTCGGGGCGGACCGTTGGGGGCGGCCCCCGAAGCCCGCTGCGCGCCGCTGGCTGCCAGGCCCCCGCCGCGGGGCACCTCCCGCCCCGCACCGCCTCTGCCGCCTCTTGACGCTGGGGCCGCGCGAAAGCCAGAGGAGGAGAAAGAGGATGATGATGATGAGGAGGAGGAGGAGTAGGACCAGTGTAAACCCAATAATCATCAACGATGCTGGCATTTACCCTCCCTCCAAGCTTCCTGTTCCTAGGCCCCTGCATCGGTCCATTTCCATTGAGGGACCGGCCTCGTTGGAAGACAACCGTTTGAAGGCCTTGAAGCATACCAACACATTGATCTCGGGATTTCCACGCCACGGATCAATCTGACTGCTGCGTCCTGACGATCTGGAATCGTGCTATAACGCCTTTTTGGGGGGACTTCAACACCGCGAATCAACATAACTGTTGCACCCGCAGAATCCAGAATCCTTCCCACACACACGATTTCTGGTACGCTGACCATGGGAATCCGTGAAGCTCCTGCAAATGTTTAGAACGAATACGCGCGGCGCTCAGGCGAGAGCCACATTTTGAAAACCACCCGCCCTCAATCCGTGAAGCTCTTGCAAATGTTTAAACGAATGTGCGCGGCGCTCAGGCGAGAGCCACATTTCGAAAAGGAACCGCCCTGAATCCGTGAAGCTTTTGCAAGCGGTTAAAACAAATGTGCGCGGCGCTGAGGCGAGAGCCACATTTTGGAAAGGAGCCGCCCTCCATTTGTTAAAGCAACTGTGCGTGGCGCTACGGCGAGAACCACATCTCGAAAACGACCCGCCCTCCATCTGTGAAGCTGTTGCCATTTTCAAGCTACAGAATCATAAATAGTGAGGAAATCTCAGGCGAAACGCTCAGCCCGCCCTAAAAACTGGCCTCGGGGTGCGACAGGGAGAAGTTATTCATGAGGAAAAGGGGAGGAGGAGGAGGAGGAGGAGGAGGAGGAGGAGGTGGGAGGAGGTGGGAAGAGGTGGGAGAAGGTAGGAGGTGGGAGGGGGAGGGGGTGGAGGAGGTGGGCTCCTCAGGACCCCATCTTTGAACCACCGAGGGGGGGGACGGACGGACGAGAAGGGTTCCGCTCGGGGCGGACGCCGAGGGCGGCCCCCGAAGTCCGCTGCGGGCAGCTGGACGCCGGGACCGCGCGGCGGGCAGAGATACAAACATAAACGTGTAGCTGCCTGACAGAAACGGGTATAGGGATTTTCCTCAACAGCTCCCGAGAATCGTCATCGACCGAGTGTTGCCAATGCCTGCTCAGCAGCTCTCCTGGCAGGTGCAAACCGCTTGCTTTGAGCCCGAGGAGTTGGACGGAGCCTGGCGAAAGCACGCTCAAACCGTGCACTGCCAAAGCAACCGTCCCAAACTCAAACATGCAGCTGCCTCGCTGCCTCGCTGCCTCCCCTCCGTGGCTGTCCCCCCCCGTCGATGCTTGCACGGACGACGACAGGGACTCCGACTCTTGCGCACAGCGCGTCTCCTGAGGGCCCCGGCCCCCCCGCGCCGCCCTCGCAGGGCCGGTCCTGCCGGACCGACATCGCTCGGGAGCCTTGCGACGTCCCCAAGGGCTTGAAGATGCTTTGCCAATCGACATGTGGGGATCGAGCCAGATCAATCCAGGTATATGCAGATAGATCGAGGTACATCCAGGTAAGTCGTGGCAGATCCAGATAAAAATGCACCGGTTTCCCAATGATTTTTTGAGCAAATCGTGGCCGGCCAAGCGCGAGTCGATGGACGGCAGAGGTCCTTAAGACTTTACGGCGAAACGGGGGTCAGCCAGAGCGCCAGATCTTGCAAGATCATGCAGAGCCAGGGGTACATTGACCCGGGCAGTGCGCAGGATCTTGCAGGATCCCGCGGGTTCCTGCAGGATCTTGCAAGCCCTGACGGACCTGGGTTTGCCTTGACCCGAGCCAGTAGATCCCCGAATCGCGCGCTCGCCTTGCCTCGCCTCGCCTCGGCTCGCCTCCTCGTCCCGTCGACCCCGCACGGGGTCGACGCGGGGGCGGTGGCCCGAATCGGATGCGCGTGCTTCAGAGACCTGCTGCGAAAGGCTCTAACAGCTCTGGATCCAGAATCTTTTTGTCCTGGCGAAAGCGTTCAGCGGTGAGAGGCGAGTGGTGGATGCCATTGGACCCCAGGGTGGTCTTGGTCTCGGTCTCCTCTTCCTCCTCCCCTTTCCCGAAGCAAGCGGCACTCGCGCCCTCGCACCTCGCACCTTGGCGCGCGGGAGCGACAGCGACGCCTCGCCGCAGGTGGCCTTCCCGTACTTCTCCGCCTGGACGGCCGAGGCGCGCGATTGGCTCCTGCGCTCCGGGGAGGCCCCAGGCGGCAGCGTGGTCTCTTGCTTCACAGGCCCCGCCGCCGGCGTCGCCGTTGCCACCGCCGCCGCCGGCGCCGTCCCCGCTGCCGGCGCCGTCGCCGCCGCCGCCGTCGCCGCCGTCGTCGTCGCCGTCGCCGTCGCCGTCGCCGTCGCCGTCGCCGCCGCCGTCGTCGTCGCCGTCGCCGTCGCCATCGCTGTCGCCGTCGTCGTCGCCGTCGCCGTAGCCGTAGCCATCGTCGTCGTCGTCGTCGTCGTCGTCGTCGTCGTCGTCGTCGTCGTCGCTTTGTGTCTTGCTTCACAGGCCCGGCTGGGAACCAGGGGCAACTGCATGGGGGATATCGGAGGCCTAGAGGTAGACACAGAGAGCGAGAGTCAAAAGGAGCGGGATAAGGGGTAGAAGGAAGAGGTTGGAGGAGGAGGCGGAAGAGGAGGAGGAGGAGGAGGAGGAGGAGGAGGAGGAGGAGGGGGAGGAGGAGGCGGCACGGGGTAGGCCACACATTCGCCGCCATCCGTGCCCCACCTCCCACGAGAGGCATGGACGCTGATCACGAGGGGGAGCCGTGGAACCAG